TTCGGAACGCTCGAAGGATCGCCCGTATCGAATTTAAAAAATACTAAACAATCAACGTAATACGTTCACGATCGTCTAACGAAGTTAACGAAATCGTCTCCCCCTCGGTGTTCGTTGTTTACTGCATACATGCATTCTCCGTATTTACACACCGCGAAAAGGGAAAGCGAATGAAAATTAGCTGGGCGTTTAACCTGTTAAACAGTCGAGCGACGGGTACGTCAACAAGAAAATAGATGTAACGAATGTGTAATTTCAAACACCGTCGTGCACAAACAGAACACAAAGCCAAGGAAAAGTAAACGCTCGAACATCGTGGCCAGATCGGGTATAATTGAGTAACGGAGTGGTGGGGATAGCGAGCATACACTATGGTACGAGCCACGGTGCAAGTGAGCTCGCCATTTCGCGCAACTTCGGGAAACTGACAAAGAACGCTAGTGTGAGCCTTTCCTTCTCGCTGTTGTGATAGAGAAACAGTTGAAACACGACCTCGCGATATTCGGTATACGATTCCAAGTCTCGACTGACCCCAGCATTTTTATTTTCCGACTTATGTAAAGTATAAGTAAACTATCATAATGAAAACAAACTTGGAAAATTTTTTTTGGCGGGAATAACACGTTTTAAGACCGAACTCGGCGCCAGCTTAATCGAGATTCTTTCTCCCGAACGAACGCGATTTTTAAACAGATTTAACATATTTAAACAATCGCCCTTTAACCCTTTGCACTCCGAATTATATTTGAATTTTGTTACCAGCAGCTTCCTACGCTTTTGAGTGGTTTATTTGAAATTTGCGTTAGCTAAAAAGTAGGGCAAAGGGTATAGCCGAATAAGGGGGTCAAATGTGCCCCCAAACCGAATGGAACGAGCCACGGGTCATTCGATAGCAAAAAAAAAATAACCCCTGTGTGCAAATTTTTAACTTGAAATCTCGACCGTGGGGGTAGTAATGGGGTGAAAACGAAAATCATGTTTTTGAATTATTTCTCTTGACCTATTGAGTAAAAAAATGTAAAAAAATTCAGAGACATTTCGGGTACCGGGGTACATACTTTGGGAGATTTTCAGATTTTTTGATTGAAGAACCAGGTAGTGAAAAATAAAAAACAGCAAAAAATGCCGAAAAATGCCGATTACGTATTGAAGGAGGCCCGGAACTACTTTTATACTTTTACAGTAAACAGGTATTACTATTACTATTACTCTCAATTTTTTTCAGATTTTTCATTTTGGTGCGCCGCAGTGAAAAAAAATAAAAACCGAGTTTTTCCTCGTTTTCTGCGTATTAGAGTAACTTACACGTTGAATTTTTATGCATCCTTCAATATATAAGTGTTTTGTAGACTGTTTAATGTTTCTACACTAAGCAGAATTACATAACAATTGAAACAAATAAAATAAAGCCAACCGTTGAGCGCAATATATTCTAGAAAATCAACGATATTTTCTATGGCGTCGATGGGGCAGTTGTTAGAGTGTCCGACTGCTGAACCGCTGCAAGTTTTTTTACCATAGGTTCGAGTCTCTCTTCTGGACTTAGGATTTTTTTTCCTTCATTATTTTTTTTTTCAAATTCTAACTATATAACAATGCTTTATATTTATTTATAAATGTTCTGAAAGCATTTTACAAATATTTTAACCTGAAATATGTATAAATATAGTTTTGGAGTGTTTTTTGCGTTTTTATTTTTTTTGTCAACCACGATTATTGTTTAACATCTCTTACACTGAAATTAATGTGAAATGTTAGTTTTCAAATCTCTTACCTTTGACTACTGTGAATGGATCGGAGCAGAAGATTGTATATTGGCTTACTATTACTTCTTCTCGCCCTTCGATCAAGCAGATCTTTCCTTCTTTTTCTCTTTCTGTGATAAATATGAATGTTTGCTACGGCTTCAGTATCTAACGTAGACATGTAAGGGCCATTCCACGCCAAATCTATTAACCCACTCTCTGCCAATGATACTTTTTTCTAATAAATAATGAAATAGTAGCGAAAATAATATCAGAAGACAATATCGAAAATACATTAGCAGTGGAAGTAGAAAATAATCATTGGAATAGGCGAAAATCTCTTTTCAACCTTTCAGCTTCCGACATTCTTGATTTTCCGGAATTAACAGAACAAGATTTAAAAATTCTATTTACGGGAACATACCAATTATCACAAGCCATATCGTACTTAGCAGAAGTTATGGATGAAGATAATAATATAATTGTTCGTTGCCTTAAGCAGACAAAAAATATTATTAAATGTGAAGTGAGATCGCGTCACATCAATAGTAAAACATATAGATGTTACATTAACTACGTACCAAATTCAATTGGTTACTCCGGGATTAAACGCTATTGTTGCGAATGTGCGAATGGTAACCGTACTGTCGGTTGCTGTTCACATGTCGCAGCAATAATTTATTATTTATCGCATGCTCGGTACCTTTCACGAATTGTACGTCCTGCAGAAATTCTGAGTAAATTATTTAATATCGAACAAGTAAATCCCGTAATTAACGTCGACAGTGACCAAGATTGAGCCATGCTTTTTTTTATTTCCAACACTTATGTCCGCCATTTACTCTCATCCGATCCATGTAATCACTTCTAACCCATCCTTCGCCTCTCCTGATGGAAGAAGCCCACCACCTTCCCGTGGTTTCCATCGAGCAATGATACTTCATTCAAAAATAAGCATGAAACGATCAAACTGGTACTTAAAAATGTGTTTATTAGAAAAAAGTATCATTGGCAGAGAGTGGGTTAATAGATTTGGCGTGGAATGGCCCTTACATGTCTACGTTAGATACTGAAGCCGTAGCAAACATTCATATTTATCACAGAAAGAGAAAAAGAAGGAAAGATCTGCTTGATCGAAGGGCGAGAAGAAGTAATAGTAAGCCAATATACAATCTTCTGCTCCGATCCATTCACAGTAGTCAAAGGTAAGAGATTTGAAAACTAACATTTCACATTAATTTCAGTGTAAGAGATGTTAAACAATAATCGTGGTTGACAAAAAAAATAAAAACGCAAAAAACACTCCAAAACTATATTTATACATATTTCAGGTTAAAATATTTGTAAAATGCTTTCAGAACATTTATAAATAAATATAAAGCATTGTTATATAGTTAGAATTTGAAAAAAAAAATAATGAAGGAAAAAAAATCCTAAGTCCAGAAGAGAGACTCGAACCTATGGTAAAAAAACTTGCAGCGGTTCAGCAGTCGGACACTCTAACAACTGCCCCATCGACGCCATAGAAAATATCGTTGATTTTCTAGAATATATTGCGCTCAACGGTTGGCTTTATTTTATTTGTTTCAATTGTTATGTAATTCTGCTTAGTGTAGAAACATTAAACAGTCTACAAAACACTTATATATTGAAGGACGCATAAAAATTCAACGTGTAAGTTACTCTAATACGCAGAAAACGAGGAAAAACTCGGTTTTTATTTTTTTTCACTGCGGCGCACCAAAATGAAAAATCTGAAAAAAATTGAGAGTAATAGTAATAGTAATACCTGTTTACTGTAAAAGTATAAAAGTAGTTCCGGGCCTCCTTCAATACGTAATCGGCATTTTTCGGCATTTTTTGCTGTTTTTTATTTTTCACTACCTGGTTCTTCAATCAAAAAATCTGAAAATCTCCCAAAGTATGTACCCCGGTACCCGAAATGTCTCTGAATTTTTTTACATTTTTTTACTCAATAGGTCAAGAGAAATAATTCAAAAACATGATTTTCGTTTTCACCCCATTACTACCCCCACGGTCGAGATTTCAAGTTAAAAATTTGCACACAGGGGTTATTTTTTTTTTGCTATCGAATGACCCGTGGCTCGTTCCATTCGGTTTGGGGGCACATTTCACCCCCTTATTCGGCTATACCCTTTAAACAAAAATAGAGGAACAAACAAATTCAATTAAATATCTGTTTTATTTATTGTTGTATTTTTTAATTTTCAAGTGTATGATATCTCCTTGGTTTGGACTTGAAAAAATAAGCTCCTGAGATAAAAATTGACGTCGAGTCACACTCGACATAGGTGTGCAAAGGGTTAAAAGTCTACAGAGAGTAGGCTACATATGTATAGTAGTCGCCTCGTTTGAAGTGTCGCGGGTCGCCACAGGGCCAAGAGGAGTCAGACCATCTATCTATCTTGCTCCCTTGCTCTCAGGCAGTCCACATGTGTGTGTAACTCTCGCGACGAATAGAGAGCAAGAGATCAATGCATACGTGTATCCCTTCTACTTCCCCCGCATTCCTTCCGCGGGACTTTAAGCGAGGCGACTGCTGTACGTATGTCTACGCCTCCTCTTTCTCCATCCTGGTCATTTCTACGACCCAGCGACCCGCGAGGAGTATAAACAAAACACTGTCACTGCTGTAACAGCAGATAGACAACATAGAGATAAAGTTTATTTAAGATTTACATAAAATTTTTATAAACAATGTATATGTATCGAAATAATTATAAAACTATAAGACGTGTAATCATTATTATCCGGGAGATAATCACGCTCAAAATCTAATCGGACTTTGAAACGAGAACATAAAACTTAAATGTAAAGTTTCATTGAAATTCATTAAAAATTCCTTTTTTCTAAATAGTCACAACATGATCAGGGGGTCTTAAAACGTGTATTTCCGCTAAAGAGAATTTTCGAAATTTTTTTCCATTATGGTATTCTCCTTATACCTTATATAAGTCGGAAAGTAAAAATGCAAGCGCAGTCGAGATTTGAACTCATATGGCGATTATCGCGAGGTCGTGTTGTCGATTTCGATGGACTCAATTATGCCCGATCTGGCGATACTGCTGACGATGAACTTAGCGTCTAAATGATAGTGATAGCAGTCATATACTACCTCACGAGCCACGTGACGTGAGCTCAGCCTTTACGCAACTTCGTGAAATCGATAAGGAACGCTAGCGTGAGCCTTTCCTTCTTGCTCTTGTAAAAAAGAAACAGCTGAAATAAAACCTCGCGACAATCGGCATACAATTCCAAGCGGCTCGAACGCCTCGAACTAGTCGAACTCGGTCGTCCGTCGATAGATAGATCCGAGGGGGAGAACACGTCTCAGTTCGTTTCACCTCTAGGGATATTTCACGCAGCATCAAAGCGAACGAAAGAGAAGGACTAGGAACCCGGAGAAGAGAGAAGGTCGAAAAACGTGAGAAGTCAGCGAAAGGGTAGACACTCTAGCCTCTTATTTCCGTACGATAAAACAGAATTTACAATTTTCTTTTCCCGTTGCATCGGGGCGCGTGGACGTTCTCAGAACTTGCAGGAAGGATGACGGGACAGATGTACCGGGCGTTGTTCCTTATAGCAATATTGAGAAGGTTAGTCGATCGTTACACCAGTGTCGCTTTCGTCGCCACGCGGTATAACATATTTACGACGATCATGTGTCGACGTTCCGTGGCCAGTTTTCTACGCATCAGTAACATTCGTTCGACAGCGTATGCGTTGGGCAGCAGGAGGGTTTGGACTGGCAGAGCAGCCTCAACGACAACATCCAGTCGTTGAACCAACAAATCCAGCGACAAGTGCAGGCGACGGTGCAGCAGAATCTGGCGCATGCACATCGACAGATCAGAAACCTGGCCGACAGAATACGTAAGCGATACACGACACAGCCACGTTCTTAACGAGCGTTCGATTTTTCCATCTTGCCGGCTTTTTGACGCCGTCTCAAAATCGCGGCGCGTTTCAGCCTTTCAGGCCTTTCACTATCGAAAACGAGAGATCCGTTCTCTCTCAAGGCAACGAGACCGTTTTTTCTTACTCGCGAGAACCGATCTGTATCGACCAACGATCGTAATTGTTACTGCAGGTAATGGCTCGATGTCGCACTCGGGCGGTGGCAGCAGTAGCATCATGACGATCCGAAATGGCATGAAGGCCATTCTATCCGGCGTCACGTCCGGCGGCAGGACGGTCGTTCGCGAGATCGATGAAAGTATGGTAGGCAATACCCTTCGACACGTCGTCAAGATTTACGAGCCGCCCGTCACCGCCACCACCAACACCATAGTCTTTGGCTTCACCTTGGACCTCACGGATGTTAATGCTAAGCCTGTCCTGGTCAATGAAGAACCGTAAACGACCAACCAGAACGCTGGAAGAGAAAATGACCGATATTTCTATCTTATTCTCATTTAACCTATGTGTATTTTATTCGCAATAAAGAAAAGTTTGTAAACAGACGCTGTCTCTCTTCTGTTGTGAAAAACTAACTGACAAATTGAGAAAACAAGGCTTTTTTCCTTGCATCTAGAACACACGTTAAATGTTCTCCAAAAGCTACGTATGTTCTGTTAGGAACTTGGCGAGGTTTACGATACGGTCGCTTGTGAATACAATATAAGCTCGGAACTCGTCCACGATATAGGCAAATATCATATCCCCTCTACTTATCCCCACTGCGTACCGTTAGAACTAAGCACTCGCTGTATCGGCGAGTATGCCTTCCTATGGGCGGTTCCCCAAGATAGCGGCGCGTTTGACAGTCGGTCGTCGAACATTGTCATACGATACGGGCTCAAATTACTAAGGCAACACTAGTGCAATAATACAAATTTTTTATTTTTCGTTTTCTTGTTTTGAAACTTTTAACATGTCTGTGACAGTTTTCTGATTTAACTAAGATCAAGTACAACATAATTTTTATTATTGTTTTTCATAAATTATAATATACATTTGACCTTTCTTTAAAGTGTATCCTCATCTGAAAAAAGGAATTGTAATTTAATTGACCTATCATTTATTTGCCGAAATCGTGAGACAACTCAGAGTAAAATAAGTTGGTTAAACAGTTTAAATTCGCAAGTTATGTATATCTTTTCGGGTTATATCACTATTGCAGTAAACGATCGATACATACATATATGTACTGAAGTTATGACACGATTTAACTAGTACATATACAATATTAAATCAACAACGAAATTCATCTTTATTTTTGTTCTTCCTTTTTTCAAACTTCATCAACATATTCGTGACACTTTTCTGATTAAAATGACACCAAATACGATATACAATTTAGGTCCTATTTACTAACGCAATAAGAAATCAAAGGCATGCATCGCTCAAGTGACTCCACGTCGGCTGTATCGAAACACAGGCGATGTTTACGCGAGCCTATACAGAATCAGTATTTCATTCTGCGACCTCTACCAAGAGAGGTAGAAGTCAGAATTAGAACACCGATTTCGTATAGGCTCGCATAAACATCGCCTGTGTTTCGTTACAGCCGACCCGAAGCGAAGGAAGCGATAGCAAATTCGGCGATGCTCGGCCGCTCAGTCCCTCTTTGTCATATGCTCGCTGTTCTTTTCTATACTCGCCGCCTCCAGTAGGCGTCAACAAAGTATCAAGAATCGTTTCTCGTCCACGATATAGCCGAGCGTTGAGCCCCGAGAGCGTCGCTTCTATAGAGACAATACTGTACCGCTATTTTTGAGGATAGCTAATTTCAATTCGCTTGTTAATAGTTACAGCTAAACGAGGAGTCAGGGCCCTAACGAATCATTACAAAAATTGAAGCAATTAGGAAGGGCCCTGCTCCGTCGTCCTCAATAGCGATTGACGTGTCATAAACCTTACAACTAGTCGCGCGGTCGAGTAACGACCTTAGTACCTGGGCACGGTCCCCGGTCGGGTGTTAGGAATTTTCCATTTCCAGGGAGGTCTAGTTTGTACCCCGACTGGTGTGCGGCAACCTAGACTAGGCGGTTTTTGGAAATCCAACCCCCGACCAGGGACGTCGACCGATTGGTCAGGTCCTTTACGCCTCATCGGCAATTTTAGTATATAAGAAGAACATTGGAAGAGTTTAGTTAGATTAGCAACAGAATCATAGTTAGAAACGTTACTGTATTACTTATTGAATTCAATAAACATCAAATACACAACCATTAATTTCCTTCAAACGAAGGTGGTCCTTCGAGTTTGTATTAGTCGGCACACACGTGCAAACTCAACAATTTCTGAACGAGCAACACTCGACCACGGAAAGAACATGTTCCTAAAAAAATGTGATCGATGAGAGAGTCGGTCGAGGAGGGTATATGTACTAATGGAAGGTCGAACGCTTGCGAGAGGAACGGTCCCTTTGGTGGCGAGTCCGGGAAGCGATATAGTCCACAATAGAAACAGATGATATCTATATCTCACTGAAACTACTCAATTAACCTATTTGTATTAAAAAAGTATCAAATAATCCGTGGAGAGATTTATAATAGCGACAGACACGTAGGAAAAGGAGGTTTGAAATTTAGTAGTTCGAGGAACAGGTAGAGACGGACACAGACAGGATCCGGTGGTCGTAGCATTATCTGGCATGTGCCAGAACGTTGGCACGGAGGAGTAAGTAACGAGATCGAATTTACGAGAACGACGGAGGCAGGAATTTCGAGTACGCCGAACAAGCGAGAATAATCGAGGAGAGAGACAAGGACCGTAAACCACGTCGCGGTAATCGAACAAGGAATCCCGCCAGGGGATCGAGAAAATATAAGTTTAGAGTGGGTCGACGAAACACGACGCGAACGAGAAATGGCGAGTCGGGTCCAGACGCTAATATAATATGGATCAAACCGTAACGCCAATAACTTTCCGGGCAGGTTTCACACCACGAAAACTCGAGCGTCGACTTTTCGAGTCGACACCACACCAACGTCACATTTCTCTAAATTATAATATCGTAAACACTGTTTCGCGAGTGGTAAACTTTACGAAACGATTTTTATCCGGATCCGGTTTCAAACGTTCGCAGATTCTACCTTGAATTTTCCAAATCTAAATATTCATCGATCGATTTCTATCCCTGATAAATAAATAAACGTCGATGGTCTCCGGTGAGAAAACCGTGTTACGAAGGTGGTGCAAACGATTCGGGAATATGCGTGTCAAAGTGGCGCCGTGAGGAGCGAGAGATTGCACGCGGGGTGCCTTAAATGGAAATGCCTCTGTCCTGTCCGCGAACGCGATCTTTCTCCTTCTCCCCGTTTTCTTTTCGCCACTTCCCTCTCTTCTCACCCGTCGCGCCACGCTTCGTTCTTTTCACCGGTACTTTCTTTCGCTCCCGATATCCGACGTTCGAGTTTCGTAGCTAATTTTCAACGTCTCGTTCTCTTTGCCTCGACTCGCCCAGCAATTTTAATTCAAACGTTCGAGCAAAGCATTTGCAACCAAGAATCACTCGACAGTCAAAGGCGTTAGGTACAAACAACTACATGCTTTCTTAGCTTGGTTATACTCGAAAAAGATAAATAGTACACTCGAATACCGCGTCCTCTGCGCTAGGTGCGACTATGCGCTACCGTTATGGCACAGACGAGGTATATGAATAGACCTTTCACGTAATGTAATTTTTCGGCCGGAGTTTCTGGGGTCCCGGGACCCCATTACCATTTTCGTGACACTCGCAACGTTATCAACAGATTCAGAAATGAACACAAAAGGAAGTGAGACAGAAAATAAAATTACATAAATTTTATTATTTTTTAACGGAATTAAAGCTGTAGGGTCTATCATTGGGCATTAATCGATTAATTTCATTGGAGAAATCAATCGATTAAGAGTATTTAAAAATTTCAAGATTATTAAAATTCCTAAGGATGTATTTCATTGATACATACACCGCAAATTCTCTGTTTTTTTATTTTAAATTGTAATACATCATTTATTAAAAAAATAACTCGGCAGAAACGTATTTGCGACTCGAAATCAGTTTAATCAGACTGTGCATCGGGGCCCCGGAAACTTCTCATTCCTCACTTTCGCACACTATGCCCAATTGCGTGTACGTGAGCTCGTTGAGTTTCGGAAGAGCCGAGAAGAACAGGCTTTCCTTCTCGCTCTTGCATCGCTGACGTCGTTTACATTTCTCGAAAGCAAGCCTGCTGGCATCGACACCCGTTCGAATCGTCAGTAAACGACAAAAGCCATCGTGACTGACAGACCTTACATTTCTCGAAATCGGACCTGGGCGCTTTTTGAAAATTCATTGACTTTCCATACGAAGCGACCATGCGTTATATACATATACATGTTATACATGCTAGGAACTATAAGTTGTATAACTTTCGTCGTATATCTACTTTCTCATAACATGGGAAAATTTTTAAATATAAAAAAATGTAAGAATACTGTAGAATTTTTGCAATGTAGAATTATTGAAGGAAAATGAATTCATTATATATATATGTATATATCGGACACATCCCTCGCAAATACGCTGCAAACATTAATGAGAACAAAACTGCAAATCTGTCCTTTTTTAAAACCCCGCAACTGATCTTTGACTCGGAACTCGTCCTCTTCATTTAGCAATTATAATAAACGTAGACTCATTAAAATTCGTAAAAATAACAAAGTTATAGCCATTTAGAGGGAAGAGTACCCAAAGGTTAATAATCATACCAGTAAATGAGTTTTTCTCGAAACCATATTTTCGAAATTGGCTGACATGATATCACAAACTCATATTGATTAATGGATTTGAAATTTATAGAGACATGTCTGTATGTTAGAAATTTTGCCTTTGACGGTTCTGGGGTAAGTCCTGTGCCGTTCCTCACAGTACTCTTACCGGAAGGTCCCACGCCTTCCCCACTCCGTGGCCAGATCCTTCAGGACAAAGTCTTCATTTTTTCCAGCAGTACGACGTCAGGTCGTCTGCCTCTTTTAACTACTCTCTCTCTATTCATAAACAATCAATGCCTCGACACGCGCTACCTGGAGACCCAACGCGGTCGTCCGCTATCGCGTCACCCGTTGCCAGGCCTGTTTAGTCTCATTCGCTCTTTAGGCCACATGCACCCCAAAACTCTGTCATAAATGTATCGTAGACTGAGCGTCCTTCAGTGGTCCTTACATTCGACTCTCTTGGAAAATACATTGTCGCTAGCGTTTCTGGAAAACAAAACCGATCCCCTATTTCGGGGGAATGTCCACGCGTCGCGTCCAACCATTGTTGCCGTGGCGAAATCGACTTTTTTGCCTTCGCCTTCGAAAAAGATTAAGTAAATGAGTTTCCTTCATTGAAAGAAGAAAAATTTTCCAGTCCTTTATTTTCAGTAGGGGCGGTGTCAACTTCCATTCATTTCCATATGATTGATTTTAATGAGTCAGCGTTTTTTTAAATTGCTAAACAAAGAGGACAAATAGGACAGTATTCTCAAATATTTTCCGATTTAAAAAT